TTTCCGACTTCGACAATGGTCGCGAATGTTTACCCATAATTGTATGTCATGCAAGCCATGTGGCTCTTAAACGCCCTTATAAGGAATGAAAATCTTTTTCTTTTTTTAGTTAAGATCACAGATGTTCTGTTCTGTTATCCAAGAACTTTGTAGCCTAGCGATTTCACTGGGTCAAAGGGATCTTTAGCATTAGTTGGCTAATTTAGTTGCATCATATTCCTTACATACCCTTTTTAGGTGGCACCTCTGTGGCTTCCGTGTACTCTCTTGGAAAGATGCCTGTGGTGGCACACTTTTCAATTTTATTATGCTAGCTAAATAAAAGAACTTTGCATTTTCTATGAGTAAATCTGAAACTTTAAGAGCTGCCTGACCGTCAGATAAAATAAAAACCTATTTTCATCCTGTAGAGCTTTGAGGGAGACTCCGGCGTGCTTAAACCCAGAAGGCTAATCTATTTGAAAGTTACGTAAAGCCTTATCATACGTCTTAGAGGCATAGATATAGTATACTTCGTTGTATTCATTTTTTTTAAAGAGTTTTGAAGTAAGAGTTTTGAAAATAATAAGAAAACGTAGTTTTATTAATAAAAACTATACGGGTATATATTTAAAACAACAAAACAAAAAAGCATTTTTGTGTCCAATTTAAAAAAAATCCCGCTTCCGTATACGCTTCGCAGCTGTAGATTAGGGTTAAAATATATAAATAATATATATCATATTAGGAAATTGGTTAAAAAACGCCCTATCTCAGCTGCCGATCCAAAGATGCTCTATCTATCTCAACGTCCTTACGAATATTTTATGTAAATTCAAAAGTGAGTTTGTTTGTTACGCTTTCACGCCTTAACTACTTAACCGATCATCATGAAGTTTTGTACACTGGTGTCAAAACTTAAAATATAGGGTAGCCCTAATCTCGATTAGACAAAGGGGTGTGGCACCTCCCATATAAACGGAATTTTTCATACTGCATATCTATGGAAGAATTTATGGTAGAGGACAGAAAGTTGGTATGGAGATTTAAAAAATCAATCCCATACTCAAGGAGAACAAGTAATTTAAAAAAAGACTTAAAAAAATATATATATATATTTCATGATCCAATGATCGGACCTAAACCAGATTAGTATGGGGCCACCTCTGAGACACTACCTTTCCGATGCAAAAAATTATCGAAATCGGTTCACGTGGTCCAAAGTTATGCGGTAACTTACATAAAAATCAAAAACAAATAAACAAAATATACCGACGAACTGATAACCTCCTCCTTTTTTGGAAGTCCGTTAAAAATAGGCCTTAGGTTTAAACATTGAGATTCTTTTTTTTGGGTGTTTGAAAAGGATTGCCACCAAGTTATTTAATAAGTTAAATATGGTATCATTCGGAATAGTTCTGAAAGGTGTTATATCTAGAGGAGGGTTGCCACCGGTTACACAAATTTAATTCAATTTAGATAAAGAGAATGTGTTAAAATATATGCCATAATATGGGTGCCAAACGAAAAACCTTTAAGAAGGTTTTAGTTTGAAAATATTTTTAAGGGGTTAAGGAAAAGGAAAACGTGCAAATCTTTTCTTTGTTTTGCTGAGTTTAAATAAGTACAGTTAAGTTAAGTAAGATAACATATAGAAGTTGCATACACTCTGCGAAGCGTGTGAGTACCAACTAGTATTTTAATATATTTTCAGTTGAAATAGGGCGTTATTCAACCAAATTCTGAAGTAGGGCGTTCTTGAAAAGTTTTTAGAGGTAGAGGTTTTTCGAATCGGCTGCCGAGCTAGGTCGATCTTTCACTTAGCCGGATATATATATTTTTCGAAATTGAGACAAACCAAATACGATACTCGACTCGTCTGCTAATAATTAACGCAATAAAAAGAATGTGCCAAATGGGCTTAGTCGCTTTTGAGTGATGCGGAAAATCATATGAATTTATAAAAAAAAGTTCGAGCTTATTCGAGTAACATGAATCTTACAATTTGTTTGTATTTTCGCATAATGTTGCCGAAAAAGTGGTTACTCTTCATTCAAAGATACCAGTTGCGAGATAACATTGTTAGCTTTACTCAGCATTGCCATATTTTATTTTCAAAAAACTGTGAATTTCCAAAAAAAAACTGTAATCGTCAAGAACGATGGAATTGTTGAAATTTTAAGGTTTTTCTGACGGTATGATTGAAATGCAGCTGTCCCTCTTTCTTAAAAGAAGAAATTCTCCATCTCGATCGCCTCTTTATCACTTAAAAATTTACTTCCATAAAAACCAAATTAGATGTTTTAATTTATTCTATTAAATCTGACATTAAGACAAAACTTTAATTTGCACTGGAATAGAATTTAAAATACTTTAAGATTGTCTAAAAAACTGTGATATTCAGTTAAAACTGTGCATATGGCAGCATTGGCGATACTCCAAGGTAGAAGTAATTTAAAGCTGGGATATGTAGGAAAACTTTTTCGGAATGGTGACATCATATGATTAGTGTTATGAAGCAGTATATCATTGAAAGTCGCTTGGAAAGATGTATGTGGATAAATTCTTAACAGAATTGCATTTAGGTTCAACTGATTTACTAACAGTCCGGAGTGATTTATATTCAAAGAAGAACCTTGATTGCGGCAATTTGCCTTACAATCAGGTAATTAATATTTGCGCACATTTCGTTGTCATTCCCTTGTAATTTCACGTCAACTGAAACTTGCTTTTATATACTGCCTTCTTTTAACATTCGTTTAAAATAGACGAAAAATATTAGATGCTGTTTAATCATCGTCAAACTGTTCAAGTTGCCAGAGGCAGGGGGTGGTGTTAACGGAATTAAGTGGACTTTCAATGAGGAGATCTCCAGTGGGAGGTACGCCTCAATGAATGGTGATCTCACCACTTCTGCCTAACGTATGTATGGAGTTTTCGCAGCTACCTCTCAACACTGATGTCTTCGTTGCCATCACCTGTATTGTTATAAGCCGAGATTAGGCGAAAGCTTGGGAAACACAGACTTAGGGCCGTTTGCGTCATTTATTTATTTATTTTATAGTATCAATTAGTTTTTACACTTATAGATTACTAGACTAATTAATTTAAGTAAGTACAATCATAATAATAAATAAATATGAGCAGTATATATAATGCAGCAATGAAATTAATTTAGACTCAAAATTATCCCTACTATCCGTGAATAGGTCCAATTGACCACCTATCTCATTTTCGTGCCAAAGACATCGACTGAGTGGTTCATTTAGTGAGCAGTTAGTTCTACAATACGAAATACGAAATACGTTATATTATCTTAGATCTTGTTTGGGGCAATTAATAAGAATTAACTCTAGTAAAAAATGCCAATTAATATGGTGTGGGACTATGTCTCTGATCAACATTATGGAATAGGGTTTCCTACGCATTGCTAACGTTGGCAGGTCGAGTAGAAGGCACCTGCTTTTATACGTGGGCGTGTTACCATTCCAATGCAGACGGGTGATGGCTATCTGGTAAAAGGTTTCTATATTTTTTCTATCCTCTCTGATTAACAATAAAGCGCTGTGCAGATTTGTTTTTGGTGTGCCATTTTCAGGGGCTTGTCGCACTGTGAAATTCTGCATTATTGCTTTTCTCAACTATACTTGACCGTCGCGTTAGCTTCTTCCTTAAGCTTTGGTCTGCCTATTGTCAAAATGGGCCACTGCTATAAAAACAACGTTCTTGTTTCCTTAGTTTTCTGATAAGATTCTCTACCTGAATTAGTGCCTGCAAGCTTCACGCTCATATCGTTCCGCTTATCTTTTCATCCTCTGAAAAAAAGATATTTATTCTCCCTACTATTCTTCCGATAACTGTCGGGTAGTGGAAATTCGACTTTCGTACAAAAAACGTTCTTTAAGAAGTTAAAATATTTAAAAGAATCAGTAAAAGATACATACATATATCAGTGATGCAAATTATAATTTGACTATAAATAAATTTTAAGTTAGAATAGGGAAACCAAAAATAAATATCTTCATTCGCTAAGTGGTGTGAAGTGTGTTAAAACAAAAAATCTAAAAAAGTATATGCAAAGACAAAAAAGTTTAGTGGAGTTTAATACTAGTGTTTGAAAATAACTGTCTATACTTCAAGGAAAAACATTTTAATTAAATTACGTACTTTGATTAAACAAGTTCACAAAATGGTAAAAAGAAATTCAGTCATCCGATCCACAACGCATCATGGCTGGCCATTGCTATACTGATTCCTGACAACTATTCAGAAGTGAATTTCTTCAACAAAATCATCGAAAGCAAAACTATAATCGACAGCAAAAAACAATAATCGACAGAATACCAACAAACAACAAAATTGTCAACTGCATCGAAGCAAACAAACAAAAAATGCAATTCTGCTGGCTGGCACAAATTGTCAGTTGAGACTTGGACACAAATTACCAATTCACGCACACTCAAAATTTCAGTGCATCCACATACTTGCGTACATGTCACCAAAAAAAAAAATCATTTGCGGAAATTGAAAAGAGAAAAAATGAATAAAAACGCCCTATAGCCGCACGCACGCACTTTTTACATAGACCGTTATCATAAATGCCATCGTCAAACAAAAAAAAAACACACACACAAAATGGGAAAGTGCACCTGGCATAAATGAAAACAAATCCATACATACATACATACATGCCCTGCATTTTCAATTTTCACGCAATTCTTTTTTTTTAATTTTTTAAGCTCCTTTATGTTTTCTCTCGTCTAGCTAAATTTTTTTAGTCCCGCTGAATAATCCATTATTCCTTCTTCGCTTCTTTGAAATTTAATTTTTGAAGACTTTAAGAGTTTTTCAGGCATTTTGCATTGAAAAGAACAGCTAATTTTCTTTTTTTGTTTTAGTTTTATTTAGTTTAATTTATGACTTAATTTTTTTTCCATAAAACGTTAACACATTCCAATAAGTACTTAGTACACACACCTAACTAAACTTTTTCACATACATACATTTTCAATCCTCTTTAGGATCGTCGCGACGATTTGAAACTTATTGTCAATAAAATTGGCAAAAGTGTGGAGAGACCCAAGATAACAGCCACAATGATGAGTGAAATTGAAAAGGTAAGTGAAATCGTTTATAAATTAGCACTGAGATTAATCACATCACATCACATCGCAATATCATATCAGCACATCGTACTATAACATATCATATCACCATTTCTTAACATGCATACAGTGTTGCCGGGGGGCTGTAAATAATAAGGCATAGTAAGAGCTTAAAATGAAAGTCAGAAAAAGCTATAGCCTAATAAAAAATGTTAGAAAAAGGCCAACTTTTTAGAGATTTTTTTTTAATGTTCTGCAATATTTTACATTGCAAAAAGCAAGTTACTAACAATTTAACTGTATTTGTTACACATTGCGTTTTGAACATATTTTTTATTACATCCTATAACTCAGAAAAAAGTATCTCTTCTTCTTCTCATGATAAATATGAAGAATTTTTGTATACTTTTCTCCTTTTTTTGAGAACACCTACTTGTTCGCTCGGCGAGGAGAAGGTTCATAGCTAGGTTTAAGGAGAGTTGCCATCTGTTTAGAAATTTAAATTAAATTAGTAGGATCGCCATACGGCTATCAAATGGCAAAGGGCTTAAGAGAGCTAATTTAAAGCAAGTAATTTTTGATGATAGTTGCCATCCGTTTTAAAAAATAAATTTCATTAACTTGTTTATATAAAAAATATATTAAAATATTGGTATCAAACAAGAGAATTTTGAAAAATGCTCGCTTTCAAAAATAATTAAAAAAGGTTGCCACCTCTTTGTTGCTTAAAAATTGGCATCGATAGACTCTTTGTTGCCAATGTCCGATTGTGGAAACACATATATTTAGAGTGTTCGTCTCAACGAGGAAAAGGTTCATATCTATGTTAGAACAAGAAAAGGGTTACCACCTGTTAAAAATTGAATTCAATTAAGTTAAGTAAGTTCTACAATATGGATATCAATGGAAAAGGATTCATTTATAAACTACATTGAGGAGCGTTGCCACCTGCCTAAAAAATTTAAACCCAACTTTGATTAATGTAATAGGTAACTGACAGATGTCTCACAATATAGGTGTCAGACGAAAGAGGTTTAAGAAGGTTGCAGATGAAAATATTTTGAAAAGGACTGCCAGCTGTTTAAAAAATTAAGTTCAAATAATTTAATAAGTTAAATTAATTAATATTTTATTGCTATCAATCGAAGAAATTTTAAAAAGGTATGATTTTTAACCTAAAATTAGGAGGGTTGCCACCTTTTAAAAAGTCAAATTCAAGTTGAATTATGGTAATTAGGTAATTTAAATATGTGGCATATTTGCAAATATTTTGAAGATGCTTGCCACCTATTTGAAATGTCGAATTTAATTGAATTATACCAAAACTAAACGGAATTTGTATTAAATTATCGGTGTCAAACGAAAAAGTAATTTGAAATATTGTGTTTGAATATTTGAATTTTTAAGGTTTGAAAGTGTTGCCACCTATTAAAAAATTAAATTGAATTAAAATTATTTAATAAGTCAAATTAATTATTACAGTATGGGTATCAATCAAAATGTTTTTGAGAAGTCTTTAATTCTAAGCTAAACGTTAGAAGATTGCCACCTGTTAAAAAATCAAATCCAACTTGGTTTAAGGGAAATAGGTAATTGAAATGTGTGTCAGAATATGGGTGTCCGAGGAAAGAGCTTTAAAAAGGTTTCGGTTTGAAAAATATTACTGAGGGGGTTAAGAAAAGAAACTAATGAAGATCTCTTCTGTGTTTGGCTGAGTTTAAATATTTTGGGTTTTATTGAATTAAATTACTTCTGATGTAACACGCAGAAAGTGCATACTGTCAGCGATTTGAAAAATCAAAAAAGTCTGAAAAAATGAATAAAAGCAGACCCAAAAAGTAGCGACCAAGAAATAAAATAAAGAGCTAGATTTAGCCTCAAAAGGGATAAACTGGCAGCACTGCATGCATACGTACGATATCATTCAACATCACAACGTTTCATTTCATATCACCGCAAACAACATCACATGATATCACATCACATCAAATCAATTCATATGTACCTACCATATCACAAAATATCACATTCACTTCTGCCCAACACAATTTTGCCAATTTTTTCTTTGCTATTCATTATTTTCAAAATGTATAATTTCCATCTACTTACATACATATTTACATATTCTATTATTTTAAAAATATTATTTACAGTCCAAAAACAATCTCCAGTCGCACGCTGACACTGTGGAGCTTTCTCTTACCGAATTAAAACAGCTTAATAAGCTGTCAGCTAGAAATGGCGATGATAAAGGTAAATGAATTTTAAATAAATTTAATATATACTTATAGCGAATTTTAACACATTTTAATACGTTTCTAAGCACTTATTTTGACATTTAGTTTTATGTCAACAATTCAGCGTATAGTTTTACAAACAAATAATTTTCCTTTTGTTGCTAGCGGTTTAAACTGTCGCAATTGGAATAAGCAAAACACACAGCTGTGCATATGAATGGAAGAGTAAAACCAACTACATATATACACACTTTCATATGACATTTTTATTCGCTCAGCTGCTGCATTTTGTATTTATTTTTATTTTTAATTTGCCGTGGCGGGCGTAATAAAATTGCAGTTTTCATATATTGCTTTGAATTGCACACAAAAACCCCGAAAAATATTATAAACAAGTAAACACTCGGTGGCAGCGATATGTAGGCAAACTACTTATCTTGTCTTATGATGAAACACAGCTGTGCGCAAAATTGCTATGCAGGTCTAACAACATATATAATGATGTCCTTATAAATATATATGTATACACACAGGCATATACAATAAAGTGTTTCAGGCACATTTGTTTGTATAAAAATCGAGATGTTTTTCTTCGATTTCTTTGATCACAAGCGAGGCATATGGAATCCACCAAGCCAGTTTTTTGCAATCGCTTTGAGTTCCTTCTAGATTAACCCGACTTGCTTCGCCTCTCGATCGAGGTTCTTCTTCACGTTTAGCGGTTTGTCGGGAAACCTGCCTATGCCGATTAGAATATTCCTTTCCGGAGCACTCTTTTAAATCGTGCACAATTCTGTCTTCCTTACGCAATGTGTGGCCTATCCGATCGATTTACGATGAGATGCATATTTTAGGTAACTTTGATTTAAAAAAAAAACGTCCTTTTAAAATTATATATATTGCAGATTTACTACGAATGTGTTCTATTAAGGAACTTTTTATTTCTGGGAAATATTTAGCAAAAAGTTGCGCTAAAATTTGTCTAGGCCATGTATTTCGCTAAACCAAAATCGAATAAGATCCAAATAGCGGACCGAAACGAAGCTACCACCCTTTTCAAATTCTATGCATGCACATTCGAGTGGTCCAATTTTTGTATGGGGGGAAAAATGTTATCCTAGAGAATGGGGCACCCCCTTAGTTTTTTCCTTTTGATATTTGTAATGTCTATGTCAACATTCAGTTTTCTACCGTAACTAATACAGGGTGCTCAATGACCTTGAGATGCGCAACTGGATCGCTGCGAAACTGGCAAATACATTGGTGGTTTTCGTAAAAAGCTACTGTTGCCATGACAACTGAAGCTTGAGCTATTCTTTTAGATAATATGAATTTGAAATGTTCTTAAATAGGCTGGTTAACCAATTGTTTGATTAACAGGCTAGGATGAAATTAGATTGGATAAAATATGCCAAATTGCTTGAAAGAAAATAAAAGATAGTCGAATAGGGCGTCTAGAATTGGATTGAGATAACTTCAATAAATCTAATTTAATTGAGAAAACTGTAAAGCAATAAAATAAAGCCAGAAAATACTGAGATCTGGAATAAGCGGAAATTTAGAAATAGAAACGAATACAAGTAGTACAACACTAAAAAGCAATGAAAAACGGATGCAGTGACGCCTGTTCTAATTACGGAAATTAGGTTGTCATGTTCGCTAAAAATCCTTGGTAGGATAAATAAGCTTAAAAGCACGTTAAATTTACCGCAAAAGCTATATAAACCTAAGCTTAATATAGTTTTTCCAGTAAAAGCGTAAAGCTATACAAGCTTTCATTCAAATATACTTGCTACCATACTAGAACAGAGCTTTTTATACATTTCGCATAGGCGAGAAAAGCAATAAAGCCAAGCTTTGGTTAACATTCACATCAAAGGGGATACCTTAGCATAGCTTTTGAAATGAATGTTAATACTCTTAGATCCTATGATGGACTATGTACGAGTTTGTGTAAAGATATGTGCATGATGTGCATGTGTGGAGAAATGTCTGCTTGGCTATGTATGTACCCTGCAGCAAATCAAACTAGTTCAGAACTTACGATGAGCTAGCCTGAAAAGGGACGGTACTGGTTCTTCATCTATCCCAACTCAATGCTTGCAACTGTCTTTTTTAACATGGCGATGTCCTACGAAGTGACAATTGTCGCCCTCTGCAGAACTTTTGAACTTGTTCTGAGCTGACTCTGGCTTAGATGGTTCTGGTACAGTTCATATAACAACAGTTCTTAGATAGTTCAAAAAGGGTCACCTGCGGGCTAGAAAAAATGTGGTTAGTTTTGAGCTGGTTCTAATAAGTATAGTATAGAGCCTTTTCTTTAAATAAGCACGCATACAATTTTGTAAATAAAAATACTTCATTTTATGTTTAAAGAGCTATTTGTTTTGAACTAATTTACTTTTTAAAGCAAACTGTGTGTCAATTATTCCTTTATTTTCTAAAACCGTTATTCTTAAAAATAATTTATATTTGTTACGTATAATGGGTATTTCTGGGATACCTATAATTAAAAATCTGAACTAAGTCGTGTCAAAAAATGAGAAAAACGATGATATATTGAATGATTATTTGTGATAACTCAGCGTTAAATTGGATTAAATTTATTGAAATGTAATACATAGAATTTCCGGCATCTCATAAGAAATATAGAATTTTGAATATTTACAGTTTTCATGCTAAATATTTTTCGTAAATTTTTTATTTAAGGATGGCTCATAAGTATTATAACATAAACAAATAAATTCACGTTTCTAACTGTGTTGGAAATTTAGTAGAATTCTAGAAACTGTTATAAAAACTTCAATATTTTAAATCAGTTTATGAGTATGCAGTTCTATAGCCCATTAAATTTTAGTATAATTAATCGCGCTGATTTTTTATAACTCTTTTTACGCACGCTCTTGAAGGCATTCTCATATTTAAATATTTTTGTTTAAGATGCAAGATTATACTTTACTACACTAAAATTTGATGGGCTACAAAACAGAATACTCGAAATAGTTCTATCAAGTTTGCAGCACAGTTAGGAATTTGAATTTAAATGGTTTATGGAGTATGAGACATAGTACTTAAATAAAAACTAAACGAAAAATATTTAATATGAAAAACATTGGAAATTAAAAAAAAATCACTGCATAACTACACATTTCGGGTCAAGGCGAATTTATATAAGGTGGTGTTGTTTAATCAGCTGTGTGTAGCGTTTGATTGTCAAAATTTTATATTTTGCTAGTGAGTGAGTGAAAACGTGAAAGTGTTTGCATTTTCTGTCGCCCTTTTTCATTCGGAGAAGAATAGCTGAAATTTGACAATCACCAGCTAAAACAAAAAAAAAAAAAATACAGATAATTGTTGTATTTGTTGAATCGATACCACCTTATATGAATTCGCCTTGTTTCGGGTGCTTAGTGATACATTTACGTATGTACAGTATCGTTCATATCAATAGCACTCACATTTCAAAGTGAGATTGTTTACCACTTTGGTTTATTTTTTTAAATCTGATTAAAAAGTCAAACATTTTGATGAAAAATCGTTAAGTTTAACTTTCGTTTTGTATAAAGTTTTAAAACACGGTTAATATTATTTTATTTTAAGCATGATCATTTAAATAATAAAAATAATTTTAACTCTCAATATATTGTGAATATTTAAAAAATAAATGGTGTACGCAGACCTTTCCTGTCAAGTGTAGCTTAACTAAATTTTATATTTTGCATTAAATTTTATACGTACGTAGATATGTATAAAAATTACATTAATGTTACCAATAACGACTTTTTTGGAAATATTTTAGCAGTTGCCCCATAAACTATGTAGAGAATTACATATTAAATAAACGAAAACAGTTTGTTATTAGTTTTAGGGTCTAAGAAAATCGAAAAAATATAGTATATTACATTTGTGCATCTTTTGTCAGCTTTCACATGACCAGTTTCAACCGTCCAACTCAGCATCCCTTTTTCAGTAGTTCAGAGACAGTTCTGAAATTTGTAGGGCGGAACTAGCGCTTTGACAGACTGTCCCTAAATTTTGCTGCAGGGTATGTACACATACACACATACATACTCGCGTGCTATTGATAAATGGTTTTGATAATATCCTGTTTACCTGTGTGTGGCCGAACAGCTGTTTTGTATTTTTGTCTGCTATTTGCATTTATGGGATACAGTTTATGGGTGTATGTGTGCAAGTGCTCCTTGCGACTGGGTTCCTGACGCTAAAGGCGCGCTTCTTGCCACATGTAACCGCATTCAAAACTAAAACGTGCAACCGAACGGAAACGAAAAGATTAACGGTGCGCCTGAACGCATTGCAGTCGGTCATTCGCTTCGTTGGCTTTTTTGAACTGGATATATTGCAAATGGATGAGAAAGTGTTGTTTAGCATTTACCGGTTGCGCGAAATTTAATGAAGAATTCTAGTTTGGAAATTTGAAGTTGTGGAAGTTTGTGAATGAAGAGGAAATTTAAAAAGGTTGGATAAATAGTCTAAATTCCAATAGAAGACTTTGCAGCTTTTTATGGACGATTGAAATTTTCGAAGAAGCAAAATAAAATGAAATAAAAACACTAATATAAAGTAAAAAAAATATTAAAAAAATACCTAATTACATGAAAGAAATTAAATAAAATAAAAAAATATAAGAAAAAGAATTAAATTAAATAATCTTAAATAAAGTAAAATGATGTGATGAAATAAAATAATAAAAAATTTCACCAAATAGATAAAATAAAATTAGATAGAATAAAAGATTTAAAAAGATATATAAAAAATGTAATTAAAAATGTAATAAAAATTAAATGAAATTCAGGAAAAAAGAAAAAAAAAGTTAATAAATAAAATAAATAATAAATGATAAAAAATAATTAAAATAAGCTAAACAAAATTAATATAACTTAAATTAAACTAAATTGAATTAAATTAAATTCAATTACATTGAACTTAATTGAAATAAATTAAACTAAGATAATTTATATGAAATTAATCTGAATTAGACTAAAATAAATTAAA